GTAGCCGTGAGCATCCCACTGCACTAGAGCCCGGGCAACAGAGTGAGACTCCAACTCAAAACAAACAAACAAAAAAAGAGTCAAGACCTTAAAGCTGCAGTGGCAGCTGGAGTTAGAAGGACAAGAGTCCCAGGCTGGTCTTCACTCACTTCAGGAGAGCCACAGAGCTCCTAGTTTGCAGTAAAAACTGTTAGAATAGCCAGGCTCGGTGACTCAGCCTGTAATCCCGCGCCTTTGGGAGGCTGAGGTGAGTGGATTGCCTGAGCCCACGGGTTCAAGACCCGCCTGGGCAACTTGGCGAGACCTCATCTCTACAATAAATCAAAAAATCAGCCGGGCATGGTAGTGCACGCCTGTGGGTTCAACTACTTGGAAGGCTGAGGCGGAAGGATCGCTGGAGTCCAGCAGGTCGAGGCTGCGGTGGCCGGGAGCGGCCACTGCACTCCAGTCTGGGTGACAGAGTGAGACTCCAATTCAAAAAAAAACAAAAAACCTGTTAGAATAAGAGGCCAGGCCCAAGGAACTCCATGGTTCCTCCTACTCCTATGCTGTCTAGAATGTCCATGTAACTTGCAGAGAGGTAGAGGAACTCCCATTCCAACTCTTTGTGGGGCACTAGGGAGGCAGAGAAATGGACCATAGAACAACCACCAACGAAGAGCCCTGGGCAGGAAGTGTCCTCAGGTCCTGCTCTGGTCCCTGCTGGTTCCTGATAAGCAGAAGGTGAAGGCCAAGGCACTGAGCTCCCACCCTGATAGCCCAATGTCTGCTTATCAGGGTCCCCAGACTATCCCACCCAGGCCCAGACTCTGCTTCAGCCCACACCCTGATCACAATTCCACCCACTCCCATGCCACAGCCACAGGATCTCTGGCTGGCTGAGATATCTCTTTCCTCTACCTCCAGGACCCTTGAATTCTGTCCATGCTCACCTTTAGAGTTGGTCCCTAGGGACTACGCAGAAGCCTAGGCAGTGAGTGGTATAAAGGTTGACCCTAGTGCCTGAAGCCCTCATTCTGGTAAAGGTGCCTAAGCTGTCTGTGGGATCTCAGAGTGATGGTGACCTGGCAAGAGGGTTACAGGACAGGCAAGGGAGTCAGAGGGAGGCAGAAACAGACATAATAACAATTCCTAGCTGGGCTCGGTGGCTCAGACTGTAATCCCTGCCTTGGGAGGCTGAGGTGAGTGGATTGCCTGAGCCTGAGGGTTCGAGACCCGCCTGGGCAACTTGGCGAGACCTCATCTCTACACTAAATCAAAAAATAAGGTGGTCATAGTGGCACGTGCCTGTAGTTCCAGCTACTCAGAAGGCTAAGGTGAAAGAATTGCCTGAGCCCAGCAGGTCAAGGCTGCAGTGGCAGGGGCTGTTAGTGTGCCACTGTACTCCAGCCTGGGTGACAGAGTGAGACTCCTACTAA